TATAAATTAAACATGAAATATTTGTAAGAATAAAATGAACTTAAAAAATATATACTAGTAGTTTAAAAAAAATATCATCATAAAAACTTGTTAAAAGTTCAAGAACTTTACAAGATTAAAGGGATGGTCTAAACACTATAAAATTTTAAATCTTGTCGGGTCGTTAATATTTTATTAATATACATTTTCAGCGTATCAGTGTTCGACATGGAATAGTTTAATTCTTAACAACATAAAGTTTCGGTAAAATGTATTCAGAAAAATTGTACAATCTAGATCTCTAAAGACGTTTCAATAATTTGTGAATGATTTAAAATGTTTATTGTTACGTAATTATTTATATTGAATAGAAAACATCAAAATATCGATCATATAAAATTATTATTCTATTTATGAGGTTTTTAATTTTAAAATAGCGAATTTGTCTTTAAACTGTATTTTCAACATTCCGTGCACTTATCATAAAAGACAAATATATACATATAGTATATGTTATGATAGTTGATAAATAATTTTTAATTCGTTATCTTTTAACCTTTAACAGTTAAGAAATAATAAAACATAATATTATGACAGAAAAAACTAATAAAACAGCAAATTGCGTAAAATAACTGTAAATGCTATATGTTTATAAAATTATGTAATATTTAACTATTATTTTTGTAGGCACTGTATTCTTACCTTAAAATTATTATGTGTATTTTCTTTTAAAGTTTTACTTTTTTTAAGTTACTATGAATAATTAAAGAAAGAGTTGCACTAATTAAATATGGACAATTTATTAAAAGTTAATTATTTTTTTGTAATATTAATGTAAATTGTATAAATGATGAATTATGTTCCTTAGAATTGAAGTTCCTACATTTACAATAGGTATTCTTCATCATAATATAGAAGTATCTACATCGATTCTTAAGAGAACATTTGCATGTAAAAATGTAGGTACTAAGGACTAAATTGTTTGATTTAGTTTATCTTTCCTGAATAAATAATTAATTTTAGGTATTTTTTCTTAGTTTAAAAAAGTTCTTGATGTCAAGAAAAGATAATATCTTGATTTTTAATCAAGAAAAATTGATATAAGTACTTACTTTTATAATTGACAATTGCGTTATTTTTTAATCACATGATGGTTTGGTAAAAATAATTTTTATTAAGATTCAGTGAATACTCTATTTTTATTTTTATTGATTGTAGGGGGATTACGACCCTGCAATAAGCTTTCCAATCAATTTTTTTAATTTTTTTATCCTTCTCATTAAAAAGTCCTGAGACTGCATTGAACACGATTTCCTGTATATTTTAAATTTAAATTTWAAAATTTAATAGTTTTAGGTACTATAACTCAAAATCTCTTCTATTTTATTCTAAATGCTACCTCTGATCTGTTATTATTATTTCTTTTATTCAGGAGACTGGTTTTATCATCTGTCTATTTTTGTTAATGTACTTTAATTTTATATTTTTACTTAATATTACTTTATTATCTGTTCGTTTTTTGTATTGGTTTGTTAATATTTTAATGTATTGTAACCGTTGAGCTATATTTATTTATAAAAGCTATTAATAAAATAAAAAAACTCAAAATTTTATACTTCGGGTTTTATTTAAATAGGTTTTAAATGTATGGTTATATTCTATTAAATAATTTTTATTTGATAATTGTTAGTTGAATACAAACATGCGTAACACAATACAATTATTCACAGTTTTTACGTAACTGGAAAATTTACACAAAGGAATATTTTCTCTTTTTCTGTTCACAGGCTAAGTAATGCGATCATCGATCAATCATGGCTCTCTTGTACAGATTGGTTAAGTTGCCGGATCGTTTTCAGACCCATGTGTTTACGTTCGTGGTGACTAAATCAGTAACTCGTGATCCAGACAGGGATGTTACGTCTAAGGAATTTGCTTGTGGCCATCAAAAATGGTCAATCACATTCTCGCGAACTGACAAGATGTTAGGAGCGTACCTAGTGTGGAAGAGTCCTTCCGAATCGGTACGCGTTTATGTGGATTTTACGTTCACTATACTCAACCGCGAACATTTCAGCGTGAATGAATCATTTGCTGGCAAACAAGTAAGTAGATAATATAAATTTAATTTAATTAATTATTTTTGAAATTTTCTAAATATATACCATTCAAGCTATAATATTTTTATTTGTATATTTGTTAATGAAATTACTATAAATTTATAATTCGACATCATAATTTTATTTTTAAAATAANTTGTGAATTTATATCCATCGTTGAGTTGCCCGTTTAAACTTTAAAATTTTAATTTGTTGGAATAAGGTTTGTGATTTTATAATATATTACAAAGTAGTCTACTTAATTTTAAGATTTTACAGGTTGTTTTAAAAATTAATGTAATTAATATTCTAGAATTKGTCTTAGTCACTAAGTGGATGAAAAAAACGAATCAGTAAATCGATAGATAGAGTAACAGAATATAAGATAAGAGACACAGGCAGTGGTTTAAAAATGAAATACAGTTTTTAAGTATAATTTATTTTCATAAAATAACTGTTTATTTTATCATTGCAAAATACAAAGAAGCTAATGATGAGGATAATGCCAATCCACAAGTAAGTCGGTGCACTATCGCATAACTATTTGTGCAAATATTATCATTAGAATCATACCATCTGCATTTCTGTTTGTATTATGTATTACAATATTACCATGTTAGTCTTACTGTTGTAATACCATAGGAAAAAGAATATTAAATGGCGTGACATCTTTTTCTTTAACAAAAACCCAATCAAAAGCACCCAAACAAAAAATACATACACAAATATGTAGACAGGGAAAAACATGCTATTATGTTATCGACTTATCGTTCTAAAAAAGCGAATGTTAGACATTTTGAGACTATTACGCAATTAATTAACGCATATTTTAGGTGATGTTTTTATGATAGTTATGTATTTAAATATTATGTACACAACTTTAAACAGTAGTTTTCTAAACATTTCTTACTAGTGACTGCACTAGCTGGTTTATAGTAGAGATCAGTCAGCGTGACGATGTGATTTCGCAGTAAAAATGGACCAATCACTTCCAGCATCTGCATCATCTGAACATGATACGCTCGACTGTCATTTAACAAGAACATAAAATGATTCAGCCGGAACTACATGAATTTGAGGGTCCACCAAATATGTAATCTAATATATAGTGTCCTTTGGATGAAAAATAAAGTAGGTAGTTGGATAATCGATGTAGCGAGAAAGAGAATTTCTTTTCGAATGCTTGATTTTAAAGATGCATGTACAGCTGAGAGCAATGACAACGAGTCACTGTTACGGATTAATTTTACTTTATGGACATCTAGGTCATACATGTTCTTCATTTTATGTTAGGCATACTATTTCTCGCCATAATAATGTTATAACTTATAAAATATGTGTAAATCAAGAAGTTATCGCGCGTATTACCTATAAACAGCGTTAATACATCATTAGAGCGTGTGCCGTGTGCTTTACAGTTTCGTTTGCGTGTTACCTATAGTCACGTGAGTAACGAAGTGCACAGCTAGTGTATAATATGTATATATGTATATATATATATTATATATTACACATCATAATTTTGTTATTATTATTAATATTATTATTATTATCATTTATTAAATTATATTATTAAGCCTTGAGTTTGTGATTTATCGACTTTACCGGCTACGACGTATTTTTATCATATTAAATATATGTGTCACGGTTGTATAACTGATAGAAAACAATTAATAACCATTCTTAAATAATAATAATTGTATACAATATATAATAAATAATTAAGTATGTCGGCGTGGGTTATAAACCCACAAGATTCATTTGTAAGTTCAACTATGTAGGGCTAACCACTATTCCTTGTACTCTTTAATTTTACTCTTTATTCATAATTGATTACATGGTTTCATATCCATCGTATTTTTGGATTAATAATTGTCAAGAAAAATAATTATTTTAAATATCAAGGCTAAAAAACATTGTGTTTCGAATTGTTTCCAATGTTACAATAAAAACAAATGTTTCGCTAAAAAATAAAAAACTGTGTGATTAATGAAAAATGTTTTATATTTTCCTGATACAATATTTTTTTTTTATTACTAAACAATGCGCATTTTTATAATTGTTTTATCATWCAATAAATGTTAATGGTTTTTTTTCTAATCAACTAATTACAATTTTATAAATTAAACATGAAATATTTGTAAGAATAAAATGAACTTAAAAAATATATACTAGTAGTTTAAAAAAAATATCATCATAAAAACTTGTTAAAAGTTCAAGAACTTTACAAGATTAAAGGGATGGTCTAAACACTATAAAATTTTAAATCTTGTCGGGTCGTTAATATTTTATTAATATACATTTTCAGCGTATCAGTGTTCGACATGGAATAGTTTAATTCTTAACAACATAAAGTTTCGGTAAAATGTATTCAGAAAAATTGTACAATCTAGATCTCTAAAGACGTTTCAATAATTTGTGAATGATTTAAAATGTTTATTGTTACGTAATTATTTATATTGAATAGAAAACATCAAAATATCGATCATATAAAATTATTATTCTATTTATGAGGTTTTTAATTTTAAAATAGCGAATTTGTCTTTAAACTGTATTTTCAACATTCCGTGCACTTATCATAAAAGACAAATATATACATATAGTATATGTTATGATAGTTGATAAATAATT